CAAGGTTTTGTACATCTTGTGCCATGCTGTTAATTTCATTTCCAGTTCTTTCTTCTATAGCTCTCATTTCTTTTTCTTTTTTTCTTCAAGCACTCTAATTTCATTGACAAAAATATTTTTAACTCTTTTTAAAGACATTTGCGTCATCTCCTCCAACACTAATGGTTGAATTTGTGCCCAAGCTTTGAGGGTTTGCTTATAGATGTTTTGGAGTCGTTCTCTTCTTCTGGATCTGTGTCTTTAGCATCTGTGCCGCCATAGTAGCTTTTTTGTGATATTCTTTTTTATTTATTTGTCTGCTGATTCCTCTAGCCTACTTCTCCTTAATGATAGGGTCAAGCTGTATGCCCTTCTGGGGAGAAGGTCTGGGCTGGTCCTGTCACTGCTTTCTTGGAATATTGAGTGTTGTGTTGTTCCAGAACTTCTGGGCAGCTCAGGATGGAGACTGACAAACTTTCAGCACTCCCAAAGTGATCTGATCCAGGGAAGTCTAACTGTTGCCCCCTTGGTCTGAGATCTGTGGGTTCCTGACCTGGGTCTGAGTCTCAGTTACTGTTAGCCATATGCCAGAAAGCTCTGCTGTATCTATCTATCTATCTATGCATATATATATACATATATACATATATATACACACACACACGCGCGCACACACACACACACACACACACACACACACACGCACTAATCCTTCGTTGTTTCTTCCAACTCCAGAAAAATGAAGAAGAAATTAAGCAAGCACCCCTATTGGTCAAGGATCCTTTTAGCCCTTCTTCCTCCTAGCTTTTCCTTAAGTCAGTGTTAAATAAATATTCTAAGGCTGTGGCAACAGGATCACTGGAAAAGTGAGAATCGTACTTTGTCCTTTCTTTCTACATGTTTTCACATCCTCACTGATTACTCTAGTTATACTGTTGCCAAGGATCTTCTATCAAAGCCTTTGTTTTGCACTGTATTGTAAATAGAGTTAAAGTAGAAAGTGTTTTATGACACCTAGACAGGGTGTAAAAGGACCAGAGTTATATAATTTGCTACTGTAACTATAAGGTTGAGTCTACATTGGCAAAATTATCTGGTTACTTGACTTTCTAATGAATGAAAAAGCATTTGTCAAACTCAAGAGATGTTGAACATTGCGCTAAGTTCTGGGGATACAAATGGGGAAAAAAAGGAACCAGTTTCTGCTCTCAAGGAGCTTCCGTTCTAATTCTAATAGCACATATAGACAGCACATATAGGAGGACTCATTGGCAGTCTGGATGGAAAGGTTCTAAGGGTTCTGGTTCAGGGAAGGTGTCAAGACCAAGGTGTCTTTAGGGTTCCAACAGCAGGTCAGAAGGCAATGACTTGAGATCTTACCAGAAGAATTGTAGTTAGTGACTCCTTTGCATACTTGTGTGTGTGTGTGTGTGTGTGTGTGTGTGTGAGAGAGAGAGACAGACAGACAGACAGACAGACAGACAGACAGACAGACAGAGAGACAGAGAGACTGAGTGAGAGAGAGATGGGGGAGGGGGGAAGTGGCTGGAAAGGTTTGGCCCATCACCATTGGGAAAGGGGGAATGGTCCTAACAGAGAGGGGACTCTGATTTGTGATTATGTTGGTATGAGGAACCTTGATGAGTAAAGTCCCTCTCCTGATAGAGACTGGCACCTGTTCTGCATGCTGTGGTCTTGGAGGGTCACTTGGGGCACTGAAAGTTTCAATGACTTGTTCCGAGTTACACTGCCAGTGTGTGTCAAATGCAGGACTGGAATGCAGGTCCTTCTGTGCTCCCAAAGTGGTAGAGATGGATAATCAGAGTCCAACCAAGAAGGGGAAAGGAGAAGGGAAATTGACTGTGAGGTTGAAGTAAAGAGCTCTCTGTAATGTCCACTTCTGCTGGGCCTTTAGCTCTTAGATGGGACCTGAATTACAGATGAGGGCTGTAGTGTGTAAAGGGAATTGTACGTTTTAGTTCTTGCTCCTGCTGAGCTTACCAGTACTCACATTCTTTTAGTGGTATCCTTACTTGTTGAAAGAGCACTAATCTGAGAATTAGGAGACTTGGGTTATATTCCCAAAGGAGTCACTTATTAGCCATGCAACATTGAGCAAGTCATGTAAGTTCTATTGGCTTCATTTTTCTCATTGATAAGGAAAGGGGTTGCATTAGGTATGATAGGTTTAGAGCAAGGAGGGACTTTAGAAAGCATTCTCATTTTACAGATGAGAAAAATGAGTCCCAGGGAGGTCAGGCAATTTATTCAAAGTCTCATAAGAAGTGGCAAAGCTGGGATTTGAATCCAAGTCCTCATAGAACAAAACCTTTGTTCTTCACCTTGTAATATTCTGCCTCTAAATGCCCATATAGTCAAATAATCAGTTAATCAACAGGCATTTGTTAAGTGCCTACTATGTGTCAGGCACCATGCTAGATACTGTTCTGGTACCAGTAGTAATAGTCTGTGATTTCATTTGCACATGCATATTTTTTCCTATAAAATTATTTAGATATTTACATAAATACTTTTGGGTAAAATTAGTTATTTCAAGTGAATATGCACTGGAATAAGGGTTCTTAACCTGGGATCTGTGAACTTAAAACTTTTTTTTGATAACTATATTTCAGGATAATTAATTTCCATCCAGCGCTGGGCCTGGAGTCAAGAAGACCTGAGTTCAAATATAACCTCGGACACTTACAATCCTTGTGATCCTGGGCAAGTCACTTAATCTCTGTTTGCCTTAGTTTCTGCATCTGTAAAATGAGGATAATAATAACACCTGCCTCCCAGCATTGTTATGAGGATCAAATGAGCTAAGGATTGTAAAGCACTAGGTGCATTAAGTGATATATAAGTGTTAGTTATTATTATCTTATGCATTTAAAAACATTATTCTGAGAACGGATCCCTAAGCCCCACCAGACTGCCAAAGGTGTCTCATGACACACAAAAAAAGATTAAAAACCCCTGCACTTAAACCAAAAATATCCATATTCCTTTAGACCAAATTCCATTAGGCACATTTGGGTACCAATCTGAATGGGCAGTCTCAGCAGGTAGTGGATTCTCATTCACTTTCTTTAAGGTTTTCAGTAGAAGCTGGTTGACACCTTGTTAGATATGTTACAAAGGGGACTCCTATTCAGGTAGCTGTTAGACCAGGTGACCTCTAAGATCCCATCAAACTCTGAGATCCAGTCATTCTAAGTATTCATATTTTGAGACCTAGTGTCAATCTATTTGAAAGGCCATTTGTGGCTTTAATGTAAATGGCACTAGATCCTATTACTACATTTCCTACCGAGTATTCTGTAGCTGAAAAGTGACTTGGTCACTTATTTTCCTGATGATGTATAGGTTTAGCTCCTTGTCCTTATGCCAATAAACAATGAGCTGGGCCCAGAACTGAAAAGGAGAAAGGAGGCAGGCTGGATTGCATTTGGGAAATTGTTCTAAAAATTCCAGTGATCCTAAGCTGCTCCCTTCTGCCAAACACCATCTGTTTTACACCAGTATGACTCCTGAGAGGCAATGTGACATAGGGGACAGCAAGCTGCCTTCTGAGTCAGAAGGACCTGTGCTCCAGTCCTGCATTTGACACCTACTGGCAGTATAACTCAGAGCAACTCATAGGACTTTTCAGTGCCCCAAGTGACCCTCTAGGACCACAGCATGCAGAACAGGTGTCAGTCTCTATTAGTGGACGGAGTTTACTCATCAGGGTTCGCCATACCAACACAATCACAAATCTAACCCAGAATTCTCCTGGTCGTGCTATATGGGTGCAGATCGTGGAACACTATGATCTCAGAAGAATCAACATTACAGATACCCCAAAGGTCTGTGGAAGGACATATAATAGGCGTAAATAGGCTATAGAATATTAATAAGGAAAGAAGACTTGTATGTGAGAAGTAGCAGAAGTGCTATCTCTACGTAGCTGCATATGACCAGAAAAGGATGTTAGACGGTCATGTAGCGATAATAGCTATCATTCATATAGCACGTTACGCATTTCATTTCATTTGTTCTTCACAACAACTCTGTGAAGTATGTGCCGGAGTTATCCTTATTTTACATCTGAGGAAACTGAGGCACAGAGAAGTTAAGGAACTTGTCCAGAGCCACACAACTAGCAAATGTCAGAGGAAAAAATGTTTGAACTGAGTTCTTTCTGGCTTCACATCCAGTTATTTATCCACTGCATCACTTAGTTTCCTTAGTAAGTTTGTAAGATAAAGGATTGGCTACATGAATTTATCCTTGATGTATTAAAGATGCAGAGGTCCTCAGTCATTGTCAGTAAACATTTATTAAGTGCCTACTATTAGCCAAGCACAGTGCTAAGCACTGGGAATACAAATACAAAGCAAATAAATAAATAAAGACAGTTCCTACCCTCAAAGAGTTTATAATCTAACTGGGGAAGACAAAATACAAAAGGAAGCAGGGAGGCAGAAGGAGGGTGGGGAGGAGAGTGAGGAAGGTAGTTGTCACAGGTGTGACGGAGAAGTCCAGAGGAGTGCAACTGAGTAGGGAATGAAGAGATAGATGGCTGACGAGCTCTCTCTTAAATGGAGGGCATTGTGTATATCCGCCATGGAGATTTTATGGAAGGGTGTGATCAATAGAAAATGAGAAAGGATGATACTCAGTTTGCGGTCTGGATTGATGTTGGTAGTGTCCACATTAGTAAAATCGCAGGTGTTCCTGAAGTATATTCAGATTTCTATAGAGTCAGTATTATTTACTAGAGAAAGCTATAAGGTAGCATTGTTTTTCCTCATCATGTATTCTATACTGTAAGTGTGGTATAAATGTTTATAAAGAGTTAGTGGCCAGGTAAAATCAGGCTTCCTAAAGAAATCAGAAGCTTTCAAATTTGGGGTTCAAGTTCAAGTCACAGACTGGCAGGTTTGTTATTTCCTATGACGGCCACAAATGGAAGTATTCAAAGAGAGTGTGCCTCTTCTGTAAAGGATATTAATGCTTCCCAATGAATTCTTTTCTAGTGAAGGAAGCCCTTCCCCCCGGACGGAGCTGCTGCATAACATTGACCCAGGCTATGTAGACATATCGCCATGTGAGTACACGCTAATTAATTAATGAATCATTAGGAGGCTGGTTTGGCTGCTTCCCATTTTGCAAGGCTGAAGTCCATCTCCCTTTTCCCCTGAATGGAAATCATTTTAGGGGTCACTAAAGATTATTGCCAAGGACTAATACAGTTGGCACACCCTACTTCCTAGTCCTCCAAAGCACCCAAATGGAAAGAGTCGGGTCCAGGAAACCATGGAGCTATTGTGAGTTAACCACATGCCTCAGGTTCCAAGGTGGTGAGACTTAGCACTACTTCCATTCCAAATGTGCAGTTCCTACCTGGCATTTATTCAGCAAATGTCATGGGCTTGGTATTGTGCTGAAGCTCTGGGAATACAAAGAGAGGCAAAAAAAAGCCCCTGCCTTCAAGGAGCTGCGTTCTAATGGCAGAGACAATGTGCAAATAACTATGGACAAAATATATGCCGTGTAAATGGAAGGCTGTTGTTGTTTGTTGTCGGGCAGCTAGATGGCACAGCGGATAGAGTCAGGAAGACCTGAGTTCAAATCCAGCCTCAGATGCTTATGAGCTCTGTGACCCTGGACAAGTCACTTCACCCCGTTTGCCTCAGTTTCCTCATCTGGAAAATGAATTGGAGAAGCAAATGGCAAATCACTGCAATATCTCTGCCAAGAAAACCCCAAATGAAGTCACAAAGAGTCAGACATGTCTGAAATGACTGAACAACAACAAAAGATCCCTTCCGGGTCTAAACGGAAGGTAATCTCATGGGGAAGGCACTGGTAGTGGGCAGGAGTGGGGTGGGAGGGAAGTGAAGGAGAGAGATCAGGAGAAGCCTTCTGCAGAAGAGATTTGAGCTGAGTGTTAAAGGAAGCCAGGGAACCTCAGAGGCAGAGATGAGGAAAGAGAGCATTCCAGCATTCCAGCCATTATAATATATGCATAGAATCGGTAGACTGCATATTGTGTGCAAGGAACAAGTGTGCCAGTATAGCTTGTAGAATGCATGGAGGGGAGTACAGTATAAGAAAACTGCATAGGTAAGTGGGATCCAGGTTGTGAAGGACTTTAAATACCAAGCAGAGGATTTTATATTTAATCCTGAATGTAATAGGGAGCAACTGGAGTTGATGGAATGGTAAAGAGAGAAGAGTGACATGGTCAGACTTGTGCTTTAGAAAAATCATGTGGACAGCAGAGCAAAGGCTAGATGGAACCAGGAGAGACTGGAGATGAGGAAACCCGCCAACAGCCTATTGCAGTGGTAGAAGTGAAGGTGATGAAGGCAGGAACTACACGAGCTGAGAAAAGGAGACACCTCACGAGAGATGTTTTGAAAGTAAATCTTTTTACGTTGTCAAAAAATCAGTTATATGGGATGAAAGCTAGTGGGGAGTCCGGGAGGATGTCAAGGTTGTGAATTGAGGTGACTGGAAGGATGGTGATGCCCTGCACAGTAACAGGAAAGTTGCAAAGAAGGAAAGGGTTGATGGGGAAAGATGAGTTATCTTTGGGGCAGAGTTTAAGGATTGAGTTTAAGGTGCCTATGGAACATCTTAATTTGAGATGTCTGAGAGGCTGTTAGGAGATGTGGGACTAGAACTGAGGAGAAAGATTAGGGCTATTTATATAGATATGGGAATCATCTGCAGAGAGATGATTGTTGACCACATGGGAATGATGAGATCACCAAGCAAGATATTCAGTTGTAGTTTTCTATTTTAGAAATACACAATACTGTAGTGATCTACAGGGATTAATGTCCTTTATTAACTGCCTGTCATGGAATCCTTTAGGCCCTGGGGAACCCAGGTTCCATTTATAACACCCGCAACTGAAATTTCCTTTTGAAAATATTGCCAGTAAACATAGCATACATTTAATGGAATATATACCCTTGAATATTGCCTTAGAATTTAGTGGTAGCTTTTGATTTAAAAATTTTTATACACGTTTTTCAGTCATGTCTGATTCTTTGTGACCCTGTGGACCATAGCATGTCCAATTTTGTCTATGGGATTTTCTTGGCAAAGACACTAGATTGGTTTGCCATTTCTTTCTACGCTGGATTAAGGCAAAGGTTAAGTGACTTGCCCAGGCTCACACAGCTAGTAAGTGAGCTCAAGTCTTCCTGACTTTAGGCCCTGTGCTCTGTCCACTGAGCCACACACGCACGTATGTGTGTACATGTATATACACATATACATATATGTACACATATGTATTGTGTATATCACACAAATTTTTTTTTCCTATAGAAACACAATCACAAAAATTGTATGTGTGTATGTATATACACACACACACATACAAGGTTGTTTTTTTTTTTTAATCAAAAGCTGCGACTAAATTTTGTATGATGTATATATCCTATTACCTATGCATGGTTTCCATCTTATACCACAAACAAAACCCTGGAGTTTGAGCTTCTCAATTCTGATTAGTTCTAAGGAATCCTTAGAAAATCTAAGGATTTTCATATGTATGTTTAGAAGGATGGACACCATGTGAAAGACTTTTTTGGCCATATAACCTCCAGCCTATGGGTAGAAGAATCATAGTCTGTGTTAGTAGAGGAATGGAGATCACATGTAAACAGCAGGCTGGTAGCACAGTGGATAGTGTGCTGGGCCTGGAGTCAGGAACACCAGAGTTCAAGTCTGGCCTCAGACACTTATTAGATTTGTGACCTTGGGCAAGTCACTTAACCTCTGTTTGCCTCGGTTTCCTCATCTGTAAAATGAAGATAATAATATCACCTCCCCTTCCAGGGTTGGAAAATAATAATTGTAAAGCACTTAGCCTAGTACCTGGCACATAGAAAGTGCTATATAAATGTTAGCTGTTATTGATGATGATGATGATGATGATGATGATATAAACTCAGAGATCCTTGAAGTATTGAAATGATTATAATATTTAGTCAAACATGCCTTGCTTCATGCCTTGACTTTTGTGTCACTAATCTTACCCATTGTCTTGCCATGGACTAAGAACTTTTCTAAATTGGAATAACCTTAAGGATGTTTACATTCAAATGAGCGAATTACCTTCATTTTTAAAATTCTAATGTTTTTAGAAATGGAAACCACCATTTAACCACGTGAAGCTGAAATACCCAATATACCAAGTTGGTAGGCTGTCTATGTCCTCTACTCATTCCTGTAGTCTTCCTTTGTTCATTTTGCTTGTAATTAATTGATGCCTTCATCAGAGGTAGTAAAATTTGAAGATTAACTAGCAATTCTAGCATCTGGGGGACATGAAACATGGGAAGACTTTGGGACACATTCTCTTGGAGATGCATTGAGAGAAGCATACTTTCCAGGAAAAAAGAGCTAATAGTGTCTGTGTAAAACATCTGGAATATTACACAGTTCCATCTTGAAGTACCATTGGAACAGTCAGATGCAAAGTCCCCCTAATTCTGGTTCTGATTACAAGGCAGAAAGATGAGTTGAAATTCTGATGACTCCATTTGGGTAACTTATGAACAGTTTTGATAAAAGGTTGGGTTGAGTAGGAAGGGTTTAAATAATAACATTAGCTACATTAAGGTTGTGTGATTATCTGTAGATTTCAGCTATCTATGTTCTCACTCTATATTGCATTAATGTGTTTTTTCCCCATAGTCCCTCTAATAATTGTCATTTTCTTTTTTTTTTTTGTCAATTTTGCCAATCTAATAGGTGTAAGGTGGAACTACAGAGTTGCTTTAATTTACATTGCTTTAATAGTTAGTGATTTAGATTATTTTTTCATATGGCTGTTGATTGGATTTCTGCCCCTGAGAACTCCTGTTTGTATCCATTGACCATTTGTTTATTGGAGAATGGCACTTACTCTTACAAATGTGAACCAGTTTCCTATACGTTGTGGAAATGAGACCTTTATCAGGCAAATTTGCTACCCAGATTTTTTCCCAGTTATCCATTTCCCTTCTTTTCTTTGTTGAATTGATTTTATTTGTTTAAAACCTTTTTAGTTTTACATAATTGAAATTGTCCATTTTTGTTGTGTATGTGTTATACTATTCCATCATGATAAAGGGAGTGCTGACCCCCCTCTCTTTTCATACAATAACCATTCACTTTCTTTACACCTTTGTAAAGAAAGAGACATCATGGCACAGTGGAAGGAGGGCTAGATTTGCAGTCAAAGGGACTTAGATTGAATTTCAGCCCTGTCTTTTGCTACCTTTGTGATGATGGGCAAGATACAATCTCTTTGGGCTTTAGTCCCTCCTCCGTCTAATGAAGGTCCCTTCCAGCGCTAACACTGTGATCTTAGATATATTTGTACTTTACTTTGTGCTTGGAAGATAATTTTGACTAGACCTCAGCTTTGTTCTCTGGTGAATCTGAAAGGTCTTTACGATTCCTGGTTCACACAATACCTTTCTACCCCTTCCTTTTAAGTATAGAATCAAAGATTTCTGTCCCATGTGACTGTAAGAGTTCTCCTTATAACAAGCTAACTTATCAGTGTCTTTTTCAAGAAGTGGGCTCTAGACTGGACCCTACCTTGTTAAATTTCATTTTTATTTTGAGGGAGAAATACTGTGTGTGAAACTGAGGGATAAATTTTACATGATAACTTACTTCTCTTTATGTGTCATATCCTTCCAGATGACTTTCCTGATCCCCCCTGAAAGTGTTTTGTTGTTCAGTCTTGTTTGACTCTTTGTGACTTCATTTGTGCTTTTCTTTGTGAAGACATTGGAGTAGTTTGCCATTTCCTTCTCCATTTAATTTTACAGATTAGAAAACTGAGGCAAACAGGGCTAAGTGACTTGCCCAGGGTCACACAACTAGTAAGTGTCTGAGGCCAGGTTTGAACTCAGGGAGATGAGTTTTTCTTATTCCAGGCCTGAAACTCTATCCATCTTACTACCTAGTTGCTCCCTCTCCCCGAAATTACATTATTTTTATATTTCATATTTGTTTATCTGTGTACATATATGTTGTACCCTTCCCCTCCCCTTTACCTCCAAGTAGAATGTCAGCTCCCTGAGAGCTGGA